TTGACCCGAAAACTTCAATAGTGACTGAGCTGTAGTCACGAAAGTTAATTTCCCATTGATTCTCCTCATGGACATTTCAGAAAATTCTCATGTAAATGAGACAACTATCTATGAGGTCAATAAAAGCAATGAAGAAATTTGCTTTAAAAAATGTCATTCCTTTTGACCAATGGTTCTTAAGCTGGGTTTGATCGAACCCTAGGGGTTCGGTGAGTCGGTCTCAGGGGTTCGGCAAAGCCTCCTCCGTGACATGCACGGCTCATTTTGTCCACCAGTAAAAAACATATGAATGTCTTGAATTTGAAAAAAATCATATTTTATTTTTCACTAAAGAGGGGTTCAGTGGCTGCACATATGAAACTGGTGGGGTTCAGTACCTCCAACAAGGTTAAGAACCACTGCTTTTGACAGTGAAGGAACTGCTCATCCCATAATGCATTGGAATTCCCAGATTCCACAGCAAAGGACTTCTAACTTTCTCAGATTTAATCCGTATCATAATATTAATAGTATATCCTAGTCATCAGTGTGGTACAGTGCTCCATTCCTGACTTAATCACTCTCATAGCTAATAGCAAGTTTTCTTTGGATAGATACAAGATTGTGGTGGATTATCAAAATCCAAATAGAGAATATGAATGAGGTTTTTACTTACATAACCTATCTCTTGAGCTCTATAGTCACCATTCTGGCTACTTAGTAGAAAAGGACGAACTGCTAATTTTTAATCGATTCAATCTCATTCTTGTCTTGAGATTTGAACAGATTACACAGATCTCACATCTGTAGATAAAAGTCTTGTAACGAACGCTGGTGACCAGTTAAATAGATGATAAGGCTTATGAATGGACATTAAGAAGCTTGAACATATTCAGTCCAAATACCCAGAGTACACACAAGGGCACTGCTAGTTTATTGTCTCTGGCTGTGGGAACAGAAAACAGCACATTAGCACTGCATGCCACCAAGCACATTACTTATTTAATAGTCTATGCTAGATAACTGAATTAAGGTTGAAAGAGGAATTGGGAAACCCCCACAGGCATTTTATCATACAGTGTTTGATTAGTATTGTATTTAGCCCTGAACGATTTACTATATACTTGACTTAACTGATAAATTAAAACAACTTTGTAATTTTAACCGCATCAACAAAAGAGCTTTAGAGGACATTTATAATGAAAAGGTTCCACACATATCAATAGAGAGACATAAAACCACAGCAGACTAAACATAATCATTCTACTATATTGAGATCTCAGTTTTCCATAAATGAGTTTCCTCATATGTTGCATCACATTCAAAAAGTAACAATTCCTAAAGGTTTGAGTTTGAGGGGATATTGCAGAAGAAGCAGTCACTTGCATAGTCGGAGAGACAAACATGAGAATCGAGCTGACCAGAGACAAGAGAGATTAAAGTTTTTTTTATTAGCATGACAGCCAGAAGTGTCGCTTGTTTAGCTTATATCCATAGCCATTTAGAGTCAGTCTGTTAGTGAGACAAGCAATCAGCACGACAGTCAGGAGAGCTAAAAGCTGTTATGATGCTGACGGCAAAGATGAATCAGTCAAATGCATCTTGTATGAGGCTTGACTATATTACTATCGAAACAGCTAATGTATGAAGTTAGACCGCTTGTGAGACCAATCACGAGAGACAGATAGGAGAGTTGAAAGCTGGAGTAATAACTAAATAAAAATCACTTTTGAACCATGTGTCCTGACCAGACTAGTCAGGCAGTCAGTGACATACCAATGAAACAGGAGAGCTGAGAGCTGCTTTTAGGACCCATCTGTACTGGGGGCTGGAGGCTGTGATGATGAGCCACCCGTCTACAGCTTATTATTACCTGACTAATTACATTGGCTACCTCAGGCTGGCAGCCCTATGCCTGTATCCATAATCAAAGCAAAAATTTAACTATTAACTTAATTAATGGTGCAGTGGTGTATGTTGTGTCAGCTCGCAAGAGAGAGTATGGTGCTTGTGACTGTATTTGTTCCTCAGTGCATAGTTTGCATTATTCGATGAGATTTATGAGTGAGACGTTAACAACAAAACCAGAGGGACAATAATGGATGAACAACACAAAGCATATGTGAGATATGTATGGATATTTCCACGCTATACCTTTGCACTAGTACTGGTGGATTTGTTTTCTATGCATTTGATACGATAAACATTGTATACATTTGTTTTTCCTTTTATTTATACATTTTTCTTGCTACACTGGTGTAAGGGTTCAGTGTTGCTCCAACCAAAATGTGTCCTCTAATAAATTAGTGGACCGCAACAATGTCTTTAAATTTTAAAAGCACAATCATACAACCATAGCTAATTTACTTCACTAAAATAAAGTTTGTTACTTATTATTGTTTCATTGTAAACTTTTTCCCCCCTAAAATTTTGTTTTAAAAGCACTAGTTTTATATGTGTGTATATGTGTGTGCGTGTGTAACTCCGTGGTAACTTGCAAAGTGTGAAAAGAACAAAATTTATCTCAGGATAAATGTGTGTATTTTTCCATGCAAACAAGACTAAAATTATTTATTTATTTGTTTATTGCTAGAGGCCTAGCTCATATTTAAAGGAGCCAGTTTTTGCCTATAATTGTCCTTTATACTGTTCAGGCTACTAGTGGTGCTTTCTTGTTCTGGGTAAATTGGAGCTAGTTTGATCAGTGTTAGGTGTCACTGCTAGCAAAGAGACAAACAACTCTTATTGTTTGCTGTTTATGTGCTTTTGTGGCATAGGTTTTGGGCAATAGGCAAAGCTGAACATCACCAAATGGTAACTCAATTAGTATTCATACTAAATATGAACTATGATTGCTGAAACTGAGGTTTTTCTTAAACTTGATCTGCAGCACTCTCTTAGTAGCTTTAAGGGAAGCAAACAGTAACAGCAGGTTGAGTATTTATAAAGCAGCTGCCCTGGGCCTTTAATTATCTGAAGACTGCGTCTATAGAGCGTTCTTCAGATGGTAGGAACATGCTCTGAACTAGTACAGTGGGCGCTATGGGTAGATAATACATTGTAAAAATGTTGCCTTTATTTTCTACAGAGATAATAAAGGCTGCACACTGGGGTATTGTGTGTCAAATGAGTGAATAAAAGATCTTATTTTAATAGAATTAGGAATGCAAGTGACGAAAAGCTTTTGATTTTCAGTCTTTGATTACTGCTAATGTCTTTTAGGGGGAACTGACAATTTTCTCATCAAGAAGGACAAGACAGTATTGTTACTTTTTCATACATCGTGGGCAACATTCAGCTGTCGTATAACGACGTTAGCAACTGTTTAACATGTAGTCATTATTTGGAAACTTTATATCCATAGATTATATATGCATTTAATAGAATAAGACTTCCCATCAATGGTTGCGCTTTAAAATGACAGAGTCCTGCGCTAACACAATAAGACCAGGCATGTTCGTCCACACCGCCCATTGAGCTGGAATGATTCAAGGCATATTACATCTGTCATAGTTTTCAAAGCACCCTTCACTTTTAACAGAGTGGAAAGATAATACAGTGAAGCCTATCACACGCCCCGTTGAAAATAATTAATCCAGCGTACATGTGTTAGGAAATAGAAGAGAGACGCATTGCACAATAAACTGAGTGGAGCACTCATTTGTTGTTTAGCAAATTTGTTACCCGAGTCTGTATGAGTGGATTATGTGTTTCTGCGTACACATGCACACAAGCTTGAGTGCTTTGAACTGAAAGTGCCCTTTCAGGTGTTAATGTTTGCATGTGTTCATATCTAGAATGTGCATTTATCAAAGTGTGTATGTGAGGTGTACAGTCACACGCAAACGTTGTTTGCCACATGTTGTCTTGTGTACGTGTAAGGCTGTTGTATGTGTGTGTGTGTGTCTGTTCATAACTTTGTGTACCCATAACACTTATGTTCATGCAGCGGTTCATGTTTGCATTCGTGACTCCCAGGAGCCCCTGATGCTCTAAAATAGAACACAGACAGGTGTGCCATATTAGGAATTTGGTCTTCACTTGCATAAGCAGAACAATAAATATCCATCCATAACAAATAGCACGACAGAGAATGGGTGGGTGAATGAGGGAGATTCAGTCAGAAGAGGATGGAAAGGGGGGGG